TTAAGCCAACCCAGTTTTTATCAAGTTTTCGATCAAAGCTCCAGTTTTTACTTACGAATGTTTCTCTATTTAGATGTTTTTTTGAAGAATATTGCTCATCCAAACATCAAAATCAATAAAGAAATTTGTATGAAACGCGTTGCATTACTTGAAAATCTGTTTCATGCTAATCTAAATGAAAATTAGCTAGTTCGATCTTTTCGTTCACGACAACGCTCTCTACTAACAAACATGCCTCGTTGAAGAGAAACATCTAAACAGAATAGGAATTATTACAAAGCAGTACAGAAAAAACTCATTGTAATTGTAATAAGTAGCATTCAGTGTTTTCTATAGTAGGTTTCATCATTGCCTTATTCATACTACTTTATTCGCAATTCATGAAGGAAATCAATGACTCATGCTTCTGACACATCTTCCTTCCAGATAAGCTTCACTAAAGGAAAAAACCTACAATTTGTTCACCACTAGGAAACTTCCAGCGCATATATGATACCTATATGGCTAACTTATTCCATCTCCGTCTTCAGCCAATGAAACATAAAAAAAGTCAATACACATTCTTTATTAGAAAATCTTAAGAGAAAATATTAGTCAAGTTCATTTGATTCATTGTTTCATTTTTTCCTTATATACTCGGAAGAGGAAAAAGTAAGCGTTCACTGATATAATGGGAAAGAGAAAAGCAATATACAAATGATTCATCCAAATGTGATTCATTTTATTTGCAACTCACCGGTATAGAATTACAATAATGCAGTGTTCCATGTTTTGACTGAAAATTCCAAGGAAATAAATATATCATCTCCATTGAAATGTTCATACTCATTGCTCCATTTCTTCCTACTAAACGTTGGAAAGTTATGATCATGTGAATGAATTTTTCCATTGAATTAACAGAGAGGTAGTAATTAAAAATGCCGCATCTGAATTGAAGAATTTTCTAGAATTTCTTACCTAAACTAGGTATAAAAAGGACCAAAAGTTTAGTAACATACATTCATATTCATTTTCTTCTAACATTTATACCAAAGTAAGTTTTAATATGTCCTCAGAACTTTCTTTACGCAACTACGTGTCGGCATTCAAAAGACACAAATTCGATAAGAGTTTACGAAATGAAATAGCAAAATATACACTTACCAATAAACGCGATAATTATCATGGATTATTAGCAATTATTGCTGACTGGACAATTATCATCATGGGTGCTACAATATCACAATATGTGCGCAACAATATCCATTTGCCTTTCATTTGGCCTATTACATATGTTTTAGTCATATGTATCATTGGTGCACGACAGCGGGGTTTAGCACGCGGTTTACATGAAGCAACGCACAATTGTTTCGCCAGTAATAAATATCTTAATTTTTTTCTCGGTACATTCTGTTCGGGTTATGTAATATTTCAAAGTTTTCGCGGTTATCAAATATCGCATGTCAAAAATCATCATCCATATCTTGGTACAGATCGAGATCCTGATTATGTATGTAGAATATAATTATAAAATTTTTTTATAAACAATCTAACTTTTTTTCTTTTTAGCAAGGATTAAAAGAAAATGGGATCTGCGGCATTGATAGAACGAGTGAAAATGTTAAACGTTATTTACGTAGTTTATTTTTACCCAGTGCTTCGTTCAAGTATTTACTATATTTAATTAAGTATCGAATATGGACAAAAGTAAGCCACTCAGAGAGTTCAAAAAAGAAAAATTAAAATGACAACTAATCTTTAGGATGATGATGACGGAGAAACAATCGTGCGAGGTGTTTATCTTACTATGATCGTAGCAGCTTTCATCTATAGTGGGAATGCATTAATATTGTTACTCTATTGGATTATTCCTTACTTCACAGCTCATATGTGGATTGGATCATTTATTGAACTCATGGAGCATTACCCTCTGGTAAGATGACATTAAATTGAAAAGAACTCTTGCTTTTAACATTATTATTGTGTAGATCGAAGCAGCTTCTCGTATTGATATAATTATATATGACAAGAAACCGATTTTGTGGATGGCTTTGGAACTTTTTCCTTGGTGTACATAATGAAAACTATCATTTAGTAAGTTACTTCTCATTTACTTTTTCTAAGACTTCATATTGTTTATTTAAATTGATTCAAGGTTCATCATTTATTTCCAAAAATTCCTGAATGGGAATATGATAATGTTCGTCATATTTTAATGAAAGATGAAACATATGCAAGTTTGCATAGACGACTGGTCGGTAGTTTCTAATATAAACGTTGAAATCCTGTTGAATATCGACATTTCTTTTTCTTATAGGGATGGAAAAATCTAATGAAAGAAATAATTGATGTTGACGAAAAACAATAAATTTCCTCTTCTCATCAACTAAATCCTTCGCCAAGCTATATAATTCAGATCAATATGAAACATTCTTTTTTTCTTGAAATTATCGATTTGATATGTATACATTATGCTTATACTGTTCATTTTTAAAATTCAATAAGTGACTTATAAATACACGGCACATTTGCTTAGGATATATTAACAATTGGTTCAAGAGGGTGTGGGTGGGTGTATTGCGCATGAAGACAATGCACACAATCACAGCCACTCACCTACACTCTCAGGCATACCCAGAGCTACCCAGCTACATTCAACGACAGGCTTTTCTAGTGTTTTTGTATTTTTTCATTGGTTTTTGTTGGAAAAGTCAGATTTTTGTAGGAAAGGAAGGTGTATTTTGGGAGGAAACTAGGTGCATTAGATAGAGCTAATCGGGTTCTAGTTGGAACCGTTCGTGGAGCAAATCGTAACAAGGGTGTGGGCTTACGTCTTTTTATTTACACCCACACGCACCCCACCACCACAACCACACCCAGATCCACCCGCCACCCACACTCGCACCCACACCCCCCCCCCACCCCCACCCCCATATAGTTTAATTCCCATTACAATGAAATAAATAAGTAAAATTTTTGAATAATCCACAATGTAAGAAGTTGAAAGTTTATTTGATGAATACTTTCATGTAGCTTATTAAAAAGTCAAGCTATGTCATCGTCTTGTTGGATAAACAAGATGTTTATTCTACTGCAAAATCGAAAGCCATGTAACCTTGTTAATGAGAGCCGAAGCAGAGAGAAAAATCATATACGGTCACTTTACAGAATTAGAAAGAAATGATGACATTTAGAAGCATTTAGAGAACAATAGGGTGTGAATGGGCCCGATGGTGTTGGTAACGAAATTAACCTCACACCTTCATTCATGCTACATCCACCTCTACAACCATTCACTCATGGTTCTTACACAATATGCTTTCATCTCTATTCATTGCCTCATCGTTCTTACACAATATTCTTTCGTCTCTATTCATAGCATCATTGTTCTTATACAATATTCTTTTGTCTCTATTATTTACCTCATTGTTCGTACTCTACTCATGGCTTCGTTGAACGTCTTTTCTCTGCTCTTCGCTTGACGATTTTTTTTGTCACGTGATCGTTTTGTCTCGCTCCTTATGCGATAGTATAAAAGGATGTGAAGGAAATGTTTGGTGCGTGATTTTTGATCAAGAAGAAATAAAAGAAAGTGTAACCGCCATCCACACTAACGTCTGTTCTATCAAAATTCGTCACATCTAGCCGTCACAAGAATAAAATCAACATGGATGAACAAACTCTGAAAGTCAACACGCTCTCAATCACCTTGGCAGGAACTTTGATCGCATTTGGAGGAATTACACTTTATTTTACGCGCTTTTTTATTTCTTCTCGTATAAGATATTTTTTACCTATTCCTCCCATTGGTGTTGCTGCGTATGTCTTTGTTTTTAATATGTTTAAGTTTTATCATGCTTCTTTGCCCTGTTTTTCTAGTATTTTCATTGAAGTGTTGTTGAGTACATTGACTGTTGCGTTAGTGTTTTTTTTGTTGGTTGTGTTGATGGTTTTGATCATTTGGATGATTTTGTAATATGTATCGAGATCATTGAACGAACAAGACCGAATCGAAGGCCATCGCGTATATTTAGGAAGAAAAGTAATAATTTTTATTAAAAATGAACATCTATTCGGTTTCTAGAAGCATGTTCTGACTAATATTTTGTTTGTACCGAGTTTTTTATGCTCAAAATCATGACGGGATTCTGTTTGCTATGCCGCACGATGTGAAATCTACCGAAATGTTTCTTGGAAAGATATTGTAACTCTAAGAGAGATGAGTTTCACTCTCTTGGCATCTATCAAACATTTTCAACGAAGATAAGTTACTCTAACGATACAAATTTCATGCGGGTGTAAGTGTGGGCGCGGTATTGTTTCGAGCAGCCGTCTACATAACAGAGACACAGTCTTGGCCACACAAATACGTCCATACTCACACCGCATATCCACACCATGATCAATTGAACCATTTTTTGTCCAATTTTAACAATTTTTCTAGCATAATTAGAACCATACTTTACATAGAAATTCTAGTGATATGACACGATTATGAACCAATAACTATAAAAACAAATGTGATTGATGTGATATAACGAAATGGTATTTAGAGGTTGATAAGTTAAGAGCACATAAAAAAGAACAAGTCGTCAATACTCCTTGTCTCTAGGCACCACCTTACAATTGTCATTCATTGTTCAAAGCCGAATGATAGAAAACAAACATGATGGCAACAACAGAATAATTCACTTCAATGCATTTAATGTGTTTTTGGACTCTTTTGTTGTTGATGCACTTTTTGTTGATCATTCTTGTTTATCATTGTTCCACTTTTAGAGAAAAAAAATTATTCAAATCATGTAATCAACTTTACGAATGTTATTTTTACACAAAATAAACTTCTTTGTTAGTGAATTGATACTTATCCTACATGTTACATTGATGGTGTTCTGTTGTTATTAAACATAAACTGCAAAAAAGGACAGAAATCACTTTCACTTGAAACACATCACTTATTTCTACTTAATGTTTTCCATGGGTGTCCATGTGTACTAAACATCACTATTGAGATGCTAGAGAATGCAAGTATTGGTTCTGATCTTTAGTATGCTGGCAGCCATCTACACCTGGATATATGTTTTGCCTTCCATAAGCCCCATTGTCAAATCAAGTCAATCAAAGTATATTAATTGATAGAATGCTTGTTGGTTATTCACGAAATGATTCAAAACACAAATGATGTTCAAGCCAAAACATTTCATTCAGACATCACATGCATCATGAGAGATAGATCTTGACAATAGCATAAATATTTAATGGGATTGATCGGAAACACGTTTTCTCACGTTGCCACTGAAAAGGGTGTGGACGGTTGTTGGTCTACAGAAGAACAACAACTTAACCGACGCACACCCATCCCACAAAGAAACAAAAGGAAAAACGTTCAAGAGTCAAAACTTTGCGGACTTTCCTCTAAGACTTGGATTTACTGCTACAGCTACCAAAGCAGTATATATCTATTAATTTAATAAAGACTCTAAAAACTTTCAGAGTGGCCCACGTAGTATGATTTAACATTTATACATTGCCTTAGGCATTTTCTTATTTAGCTACTTTTGCTTAAGTTCTATCAAAATCGACTTGTCCTCATGAAAGTGATTATTGATCTTGCAATCACGTACGTAGCGTTTCTCATTGTAATGCTCCAATAATTCAATTACCCATTTTATCTTAACTGCATTTTTTCTAACATTAAATATTTTTCTATCACAATTCGTTCGGATGATGAATTTTGGTCTACTATTTCGACATTCGATTGCAATTACAGACTGTTCTTGATCAAGCACCTCGTTTTTATTCGTTAAAAATCAAATCTTGATTTGATTATCATTCACACCCACACCCTTAAATACCCTTCAATTTAAAATAGGTCATGCAGAACATATAGTTCTTGCTTCTCAACGTGAATTAAAAACAAAAAAAGAATCTTCTGAAAAGAAAAACGTAAACTAGTGTTACTGATGTTGAATCAGTTATGAAACGTGCATCATATTTTGAAAATATTCATTCAGATTAGTTTCCAATATTCAAATCTAAACTTATCATCTATTTACTAACATTCATCAGAGAATATTATTTATGATTTTAATCAAAATCATTTTAATGATTTGTAATCACAATTGCATTTTAAAATGCTTAAGTCATCAATTGATTTACTTGCACAATTAACAATTCCAAAAAGTAAAGAGTCTTTTCTCGATCAAAAAAGAAATAAAAAAATGAAATTTTTTAATGATTTGCTTACACAGTTATAATTATCACATGAAGTTCATCCATCAGTTACGGTAGATGATCCAATTTTTCCAGTTGTAAATATTTGTTAATTGGAAAGAAAAAAGATTAAATATTATTATATCGCGCCTTTTCACTTCCAACTAAATTTCATCATCTTGAAGATATCAAAAATAATATTTCAAATATTGTATTTAATTCTGTTACTGATTTGAAATTAATGGATAAAAGTGCATTCAAGCATGAATTTTTCATTCGACTTGCTTGAGCTTTTCCATTTCTTAAAAGTTTATCTATTACGAATATACATCCATCGTTTTGGCGTTCTGAAGAACCTCATCTGCGAGATAAAGACTGGTGCTCAACTATCGAATATTCACATCTTATTTTTCTTGATGTGAAAGGTGTAACTTCTTTTTGTCTTGAGCATCTTCTTAATGAAACGAAAACACATCTACCTAGTTTAACACAATTAAAAGTTATTTATGACGTTTTGAAAATAGTAACAGGAAACTTTACAAGAGACGAGTTCCGACGCACTTATAGTAGAGTGAAACGGTTAATTGTTGATGATTCAATAGTTTATCCAGAAAATGTTTATCTTTATTTTCCTTTACAGTGAGTTTAATTTTGTTTTGCTATTATTCGAATAAAAATCTCTTGTGTAAACCTTTTTTTTTAATACAAAACCAAGTATGATGCAGCAAATGTAAGCCCTTTTATGAAAACGAAATCTACTATGGAAACTAAATTGTTGTGTAAAACAATTACTAATTTAATCTTATGTATTTGGATTCTATTACGATAGAAAAATAATATAATATTGGATGTTATTGCAGTGCGATGCAGCAGGGACATATTTTGATCTTAGTGGAAAATGTAGAATAGGAAAATGTCGAAACGATTGATCTTCTCTATTTGATACATGATAAATACTGCATTATTGATTTAGAATGAAAAACACCAGAGGAAGTCGACGATATAATAATATTTAATCTTTTTTACTTGCACAATTAACAATTCCAAAAAGTAAAGAGTCTTTTCTCGATCAAAAAAGAAATAAAAAAATGAAATTTT